AAGTTTCATATGATCACAGATGAGAAGACAAGTTGAAGGGAGCCCAAAGGTAAGACCAGTTAGAGGCTACTACATTAATCCAAGAGTCAGGGACACATCTGAGAAATATTTGGGAGGTAAATCACAAAACTTGGTAATAAGATAGCAACTCTGACTACATCATGAGTGTGTTTTTAAAGAAGCAACAAACAAAAACTGTAAGGTCCAATGAGAAAACCTGAGAGTGACCATATAAAAGTTCAGACTCAATGCCATACTTAGTAAGACAACCTACTACATATATTTTATAAGTCATTTTAGGGTTATTATAGTCATAAAGATAGTAAATCTACTTTTTAACCTTAAGCATTAATAGAACTAAGGAACATTTCTCAGTCAACTTCCTCTATTAGATAAATGGTTACTTTAGCTACACTTTATGAAACTGCTTCTCAGGAAACAGAAGTTGGATGACCATGTGTCAGGGATTTAATTAAAACTGGTTTTCACTGCCCTGGCTGGGTCACTCAGTTGGTTGGAGCACCATCCCATGCACCGAAAAGTTGAGGGTTAGGTTCCCAGTCAGGTCACATCCCTAGGTTTCGGGTTCAATCCCCAGTCAGGGTGCGTAAGGGAGGCAACCCATCCATGTTTCTCTCTCACACCAATGTTTCTTTCTCTTTCTCTCTCCCTTCCCCTCTCTCTAAAATCAATTTAAAAAATGGTTTTCACAGTAGATGACTTTTAAAATCCCTTCAAATTCAAGATTCTAAAAGAAGGAAAGTCGTAACAAGTATAACACATTTACTATTTCAAGTGTACAGCTCTATAGCTATCTAATGGGATTGAATCAAAGAGTAATTCCAAATATTGTTTTGATACTATTAACAATTTTCTCAGTACTTAGAACACTAATATAGCCATATTTTCAACTGCTTAGGTAATATGAATAGCATACTTTGTAAACTTTAAGATTATGAAATTAACTATTGTCACAAATTCCTTAAAAATTCAGAGCAAATAATATTCAGAATTGGTTACAGGACTGAGTGACATCTCAAACAGAAAAATGATTATTTCTACTTCACTGTCACTGAGCCCTATGTATATAACACTGAGGGAAAATTATTTCATTCAGTTTAAGTAGGAAAATGCCCTGCAGCATGCAGAAGAGCTGGCCCATCATTCCAGATCTCTAAATAGCTTCCTCTTCCCATTAGTTAAAGAGGACTGACACCATGTCACAAGCTCTTACAGAGATTCTTTGATTCAAGGAGCTGCTCAATGAAATCCAGGATTCATCTCTGAATACAGGGAATCCCAAGTCAGTGAACAGACCCCAAAATTATAAGACAGAGTCAGTAAACTGGCATGAAGAAATCAATTCTTTACTTTCAGATTCTAGGTCCAAAATGGCAAATCTAGTCACTAAATTGACCAATATTCTCACTCTTAATTAACACTGTAGATGAAAATAAAATTCTACCATAAGGCTTCTAACAAAATTCTATGTCGCATCTGAAAGCAGAAATACAAAAGTGGCAGGACAAAAATGTAATTATAAGTGTATCAACAGATTTCCAAATCTGGCCCACATGGAGTAACTGGAACCAAATTTACCTCCTGCCTAAAACAACTGGGGAAAAAAGAAAAAGACAAAACACGGAAAGCTTTTTTTTGTTTGTTTCAAGACAATGAACATCAGGCAATAAAGAACAGTAGATTTCCGACAGATGGGAAACACACAAGATGAGACTTAAAATCGCCCCAGCTTACTTTACTGCCTTGAAAGAATTTCTAGCCATGGAACAGGGACCAGGAGCCCAGGCTGAGCACAGTGGTCTCCCTGAGTTAAGGAGACATAATTTAGTCTCACCAGGCATAGTAGTTAACAGGAAAGAGCTGCACAGATAGATCCAGAGATCTGTGGAGGGATCCCGAGCCTTCAGCAGAGTACTTACCAGTACTTATGTGAGTAAATTACCCAAGGACAGTGAAAGAGCCAACAAAAAGGATTAGAGGAAACCCCGCCTAGAGCTCACAAGTCCAGGAACAGTTCTTGTTCCCACCAGCTAGAGTACTAAGGGTTTTGCCTCAATAGTGCAACAGTGGTACTACTTAAACACAACTTAAAAGCAAGATCTGAAATGATCAAACTGTTTCCAAGTTAACTGCATCCCAGAACAAAGCTCAAGAGTATTTAATGGAATACAAAAATATCCAGCACCCTACAAGGTAAAATTCCAAATGCCTGGCATCCAATCCAAAATTGCCAGGCATGCAAAAGCAAGAAAACACAATCCATAACGAGAAGAAATGTCAATCAAAACCAACCCAGAAATGACTCACAATAAATTGTAAACCTGCACATTCAGCCAGTTATAACTGAATTCTATATATTCAAGAAGCTAAAGAAAGTGCATGAAGGCTACATGCGTGGAAGATATGAAAAAAGACTGCATTTCTGGAGATAAAACCATGTCTGAAATTAAAAATATGCTGGATGAGATTAAAGGCAGGTTACACATCACAGAAAAATAGAGTAATGAACTTGGAGACATAGCAAGATTATCCAAATGAAACAGAGAAGACTGGAAAAAACTTGAACAGAACATCAGTGAACATCAAGCAGCTTGATACACATGTAACTGGATTTCCAAAAGGGGAAAAGGGGGGCAAAAAATAAATCGTGTATCTGTATAAATAATGGCCAAATTTTTTTCAAATTTGATAAAAACTACAAACCCACACAGATCCAAGAAGCTCAATGACCTCCAAGCACAAGAAACATAAAGAAAAATAAAGTTTCCTTTACAAAGGATTCTTGGAAATTTTATTAACTAAATGTAATCTAGAAATTACTTAGACTAAGGCTAACTTTTAGGTTAACTTACTGAGTACAATTTCAACTGACCATTTAATACAATACATTAAACCAAACAATAATTTAAGTGCTTAACAGAAATCGTAATGATTTCAAAATTAGCAAAATATAGCTTTTAAAACAATGTATATTTTGTTACCCTATTGGGTAATGAATCTGTGTTGATCTTATTCTAGCAAATTGTTTTTAAAAAGCTAAAGCACACTTCTTTTTTTTCTTAATTTTCTTTTCCTTTAATTAATATAGGTCATTCAGAACAGAATTAGGACACTGAAAAAACTTTTAAAGAAACTGAGAGGTGGAACTGAAAACAGAAGCAGATTTGAGGTCCTCCCTAAAAAACAACCTGGCAACCACTATTTTGGAACACCATTACTTTAAAATATACATATGTATTTTTAACTGTACTCAAAGTGGAAAGAAGCTACAGTGTTTTTAGCATCTCGGCTAACTATTTAGGACTCAAAAAAAACCAACACGCTAAATATTTTTTTGGAAAAAGAATCATTCAAATAAAAACTATTAAAGTGGAAAACTAAAGTAATGTATTTTCCTATTTTTGTAAACACACCTATTTTTTTAGAGGTCAGCATACAAATTCAAATTTTTCTGTATAAAAGCAAGTAAAAAAGAGACAGGAGAACAAGTTCTAAGTATCTACCATAATGGCTACCCTTCCTGTCATGTGTGTTCCCTAAAATAGAAGTCAATTTAATTAGTCTACCATTTTGCTTAGAAAAAAGTGGGATATTTCAAAGATAAAAAATAGTTCCATGGGAGAGCTGCCAAAAATATATCCACTATACCTGGAAATAAGTAATGTCTACATTCTTTTTACCTTTCTTAAAAAAAATAAATAAATGTGTATACACACACACACACACACACACACACTTAGTATACATATTTCTTTGGGTGACTATACAAATAAAACACTTTTGGAAAACACATACGAGTATGATACTTCCCTATACAATCAACACATACATTAAAAACAGCACACAAACTCTTTGAGCACACAGGCTGAGAAGTTACTACTGGAAAAATTATTTATGGATTTGACTTCTACCCTCCTTTAAATAGAAAAATCTTAAAAAAAATAATTTTCAATAAAATACAGAATTGATACTTTATGTTAGGTTATTAGTCTATTAACCATAGACTTATCCTCTAGTAACATTAATAATACATGAAATTCCTACATATATAAAAGATAAGAATGTTTTGAAATTAAAAGTTCCAAACTACTCTTGTAATCAGATTCTATTCAAGAGAAGACTAAATATACATTATTTTGAGTACAACTGTAAAATTCAGTTTCATAACCTACACTGATGTACACCGAATACATGTATACTAAAATGATAAAAAAGAAGTTTTTACTTCACTGATCCAGCTACCAATATCATTTTAATATTCAATTCCCATCTCAAAAACTTTCCTATTTAATACAAACCCAATCATCATAAACATGAAAGACAAAGATTTGCCTACATCATTATCTAGTTGTCCTCAAGATTCCAGTTACCTGCATTTAAAAACTAGCTCTAATACCTTAAAATGATCCCCCCAATATTAATCTAATAATTCACACAATAAATCACCTACTCATATTTAGTAGCATTTAAATTACTTGCTACAGCAACAGTTCCTCACCGAATCAGAACTATTGTTTGAAATTCTCTCTTCTGAAATCTGAATTTGTTTCAAATTCTGAGTCATTTATTTTTAAACACAAAGGTTAATAAGGAACATTTCAGCATCAAATGCACATAACTTCACAGTAAAGCCTTCCCCCACCCCCATAGGAAACTATTCTTATTCTTTCTCTCTCATCTTACCAAATTATCAGAGGGACACAATGTGGTTTGAATTTCAGCACTGAAGACAATTAAGTGACAATACACGGTCTACGGAATGAAAAATTAAAGTTTCATCATTTTCATCACTGGGTTGTGATAAATAGGCTGGGCGTGTTTAAGATTATCACTCCTTTCAAGGTCCAATTGTTAAACCACCTGAATTTTTCTGCCCAAAGAACCAAATTAGGAGCTTAAGACATAAAATCCCTAAAGTTCACAACATGCAATTTTTCAAAGAAAACAAGTTACCTAGAAAAGCAAAAAAGAACACTTACATTTGGAGCATGACCTGGTTCAAGAATACCCCATCCACCAAAGCCACATATTCATCCAGGCTGGTCCCATTTCCTGCAGCCAGAGGTCCAAACGTTTTAACCTACAACAGAACGATCATCACGACACGAACGCCCACCTCCATCTCTGCAGCCACAAATAATGCAGCAACATATACAATAAATAACCCCCACTTACCCAAGTGACCAAAGGGCTGGTCATGAACTGCTCCAGAAGGGGAGTAAAAATTTCGTTCTCCATTTTACAGCTAATGTCTTTGAAAAAAAGGAACTACCACAAAAATACGCCTAGGGAATTGGTCTCTCAACGCTGAAGTAGAAATCAATGAAAGTCTACGCGGGCACGGGAAGAAAATCCCATCGTGGACGGGAGAGAAAAACTCTCCCTCCTCAAAAAACACCCCAGAGGCAAACGAGCCGAAATCCCGAGAAGTGGCTTCGACAGCAGCCACGAGCCGCAGCCTGCGCTGCAAATGTCTGTACCGGGCGAGGAGGGGCAGAAAAAAGGCATCTGGAGGAGGAGGAAGGGAAAGGGGGCTGGAGCAGCCAGACAAAAAGCCCGTCAAGGTGGCCCAGCTCCCGGAGGAACCGGACCCGCGAAGCTGCCCCCAGTGAACCCGTCACNCCCAAGGCCGCCTCACGCCTCGCCTCCAGCCCCCTTCCCCTCCCAGGGGCTGGGGGCTTCAATGTGTGTCCCTAACCCCCCAGTTTTCTCAGCCCCGCGGGCCCCCTCAGTGCGCCCCCGGGAAGCCCCGGCACAAAACCCCCGCCGCGCTCCAGCCTAGTCTCCTGCCCTCTCCGGAGGCGCAGGAGTAACGGCTCCGCAACCGCAGTGCCGCATCACACCCCGCTCCGCGCCGCCCGGCCGACGCCGCGAGCCCGCGGTCAAAAGGAGCGCGCTGCGTCCTCCGCGCCCAGATCCTTCCGCCGACTCCCCGCCCCTCCTGCGCCGCAGCCTCTGGATTGTGGGAGAAGAAAACCGCTGCATGAGCGCGCTCCC